TCACCCTTGTTAAGGTTAGCCACAATGGTCTTAGATACCAAAGCCATAAGCAATGACAGCTACACATTGACATAATAAACACAGAATGAATACTAACACATCTTTCACATTAACACACATATTTATTTTGCACCAAAAACAAACAAAATTAATGATAATTCGACAAAAGACATTGAAACGAAGTTCACTATGTTCCCAATCGGCTTCTGTGTTACAATTGTCTACTATCATCAATTTTGTTTAATTTGCACAAAATTTAAGTTCTAGGTGAGCATTCCTTTGAATTCTACCAACCTATGAACTCCCACTTGAAAAGACGATTATAATACATCATGCAAAGATCACATTCTCTCATACAATCATAGAGAACAGCATGATGTTAACCAAAGTACAAGTAATTCAAGCATCATCTATAATCAAATGCGGAATACATAAAATTAAATAACGATCTCCAACCATTGTTTGAGTTTGCTCAGAACTAAAATTGCAAGCACGTTAAATCTTATATACATTCCATCCATAAACCACGCTCTACACAATCTGTATGTGGTCATTTACATATAAGCTAGCTTTTGTATTTCCAAAACCAAAGAGAAATATACGTAAAATGCAATAATACCCAAAAAATACGCATATTTAGAGTTCCGTACGTATTTTCATACCCTTAAAAGCTTCAAGCATGTAAAATAACTATGCTATGATGTAGATAATTTCAATACGAACACAACGGAACCAATCACGCTCCAATTGGACCTCCCACGCGCCCATACACGCCGCCTAAGTGCGCAGCGCACGCACAGGGGGTCCAACCGATTCTTACATCGGTCTTATTGGTTAGACCGGTTCAACCGTTGACTGGTTCGACCAATTGACCGTTGACCGATCTGACCGTTGACCAGTTAACATGTCGAGTCAATGGGTCGGATTATAGGTCGGTCGAGTCGTCGGGTTCCTGGTCCGGGTAGTTGACGTCAGCCGGGGGTACCCGCATGTGTGGTGTACACGCCCGCTTGTGAGGCGTGTGTCGCGCACGCATTGGGCAATCCCAGCGCGTGGCCACGTGTGGGAGCGTGGCCGCCGACATAGCAATTTACAGCCGCGCGTGGGGGCGTGTGCTGCTCCCCTCAGAGGCGTTCGACCCGCCATTTGGCTCATCTCAATGAGAACTTTCATCCCACATGATCAAAATAATTTTTCACCGGAAAATTTTTTGAGAAAAAAAGGCCAAACAGAACGGTCACCGACGAACTCAAGACTCGATTTTCGCACCTGGTTCGTATTGAACATCGTTGCCGTAATTTCATTGCATTCAACATGCAGACGGCTTGGAAATCGATTGACTACATAATTTCCTTATTGAACAACGAGCAAAAACTCGACAGAAAAATAAGACAGAGATCATAACGCACGCTCTGATACCAATGTTAGGAAAAAGTCGTGGAAGAAATTGACTAATCTCTCGATGCACAATAAACGAATTACCCAAGAATGTGAATTGAATCATCGGTGATTGTTGGACGAATCTGCAACGTCACACCGATTCGAATATAATCACGAGGAAAATATTATTGCTCCACAGTGTTAATGTCGATCGTCTTCTCAAAGTAACGATGGAATCATTTTGTGTGTGTTTTCTGAATGAGAGAGGATAATGTACGTTTTCTCTTATGTACGTTGTCTGTCTTATGTTTTCTCTATATAGTAGAAGTTACTTTAACTTCCCTTTAAAAGACAACTCACACCCTTTCAAAGGGTGCCTTTCATAATACATCCCATCATGGGCGAAACAGTGCCGCCTAACAGTTGCAACAACGGTGGTTGTGATCTTCGAATATGTTGGGTTCTCTGCCCTATGATTACATTTTACATGTCAAGGTTTAAGCCGGAAAGTTTATGGAGGTTCCCTCAAAAGCCATAATCACAAGGTAAAAGTTGGGGAAGTAGTCTTTGCTTTTCGATTTTACTGTTTGGCTTTCGTCGAATTTTTGAGCTCGAACAGCAAGTTGAATTGAATATTGGAAGCTAAAACTAGAAGTAATGGGTTAAAGTGGGTTCCCAAATGCCCTATAAACTATCACATTGCAATTAGCGCTCTATGACATGATCATTGAATGGATAGTGACGTTAGAAATGCTAGGTGTGATTTGAGACGGTAAACTGCTACATAAGTTGGGTTGTCTGCCCCATAATTACATTTTCATTAAATTTTTTTTGTCATGTGGCAATATGTGCCAAGCGGCTATTTACATGAAATAAAGAAGAAAACACTTTCTCTATCTTCAATCGTGACGTGTACATGGTGCTCCATATTTCAAATTGTAGGGTATGTTTGAATGATTTTTTACTTTTTAGCAATTAAGCTTTGACTTTTATTTAATATTTAACAACGAATATTAAATTTTTATCCATGTGGACTAATAGCTTCTTACTTTTAATAAAAGAAAGGCCAAACAGGTTGTAAGTACAATTTCATAACAAGTTACTTTTTTTAAGTTTTCCCAAACAAATATCATAGTATATCCCTCGATTCGGTAGACGAAGAACATGATGCTCTTAGTCGATTATTTGGCCTTTAAGTCAAATTTCAATTGCTAAAAGCTCCAAACTAAATTAGCATGAAAAGGACAATTTACTCCAAGTAATGCTAAATTTACGGATACACATTCTTTTCAGAACTAGGACGTCTAAATGAATTCGTTAAGGCGAAACCATTATCTACGAATCACCAATCACGAACCCTAATTACTCTTAAGGGTCGTTTTTGAATATCAGAGTCCTAAGACTCGTAAGTCGTAACCCTTTCCCTATTAGGAGGCTCTCGGCCTTGAATATATCAAAGATATTCCATACTAGGATTCATCTACAGATTATTTTCATCTATAAAACAATTCAACTTTGAATACCCCAAGTAAAAGCCATGACATCTTTGACAAATATTACATCAAAAAAGTTACGATTCTAATCAAGAATTTATCAAGACCATGTGTATATCCTTTGGGACGTACAAGAAGTGTGTGATTAGAAACCCATCAGTGGTGGCTATGCAAGGGGTCCCAAAGTATGAGAAGAGGAACCGCGGCGGGGAAGACAAGCACGTCTTGGCGTGGATTCAGGGGGAGAAACTCCAAGTGTTCCGACCGGGGGAGTCCATCAAAGTGTGGAGCAGGGACTATTGTAGTAAGCCTGCAAGGATCTACGTCTAACCCGGGATATCGGGCGATTTCCCTCATCACTCCATCGATAGGCGCAATCAATCCCGTCGGTTGAATAGCAAGCGCAAAATAAATGTCACTAAGGACGGCACCGTGGTTTGTTATGATTTTGAATGAAATCTCTTCTTTCTAATTGCATACAATCTTGTTCTGGGAACCCTTCTTTTGTGTTACTTTAGACTGCTGTTTAAGATTGTACCAAAGGAGGACGCAAAAGTTCAAAGTAAACTATGTTTCCGTTGCCATGGAACCTCTGACCGCTCTTTTCTTTTGCATACGTTCTTGTTTAATTTATTAATTATTGGGAAAAAGCACCAAAAAAGTCTTCAATTTATTGCATTGATACCAATTCAGTTCTAAACCTTTTAATTTGATCAATTTAGTCATATACCTTTTCACATTGATATCAATTTAGTTAATCCAGCCAATTTAGGCCGAAAATCGCTGACTTGGACACCAGCCATCTTACGTGGCACGGCCGGCGCTGACGTGAATAATTTTTAAATTTTTTAATAATTTTTTCGTTTTTTTCCCTTCCTTCTCCTTCCGAAAAAAAGGAAAAAAAAATTCAAAATTCAAAAAATTATTAAAAATTATCCACGTTAACGCCAGCCGTGCTATGTATGACAGCCGGCGTCTACGTCAGCGATTTCCAGCCTAAATTGGCCGGATGGACTGAATTGGTATCAATGTGAAAATATTTAGAACTAAACTGGTCCAATTGAAAGGTTTATGACTAAATTGGTACCAATGCAATAGGTTTAGGACTTGGTACTTTTCCCTTGATTATTGATGATTTCTCTTTTTGCCTAATAGCAATCGTGCATGGATTTTGGTTCATTCTTTTGCAAATGCATTTCAATGTTTTTTTTATAAAAAAATTTTGGCCACTAGGCTTTTGAATTTGAATCCATGCATTTGGGTAGCAAGAATCGTATTCGATTCCCGTTGAGGCAAGTTTTTAACGAGCGGAAACTGTGCGGTAAAAATTGACATCTTTAATTAGTCCTTTGGAAGGCCATCACATCAACTTGGAGAGACTCGTACATGAGATTGAATACTTTAAGTATTATTCCTATCCTAATGAGATGTCCCTGTTTTCCTTTAATTGTACAGTTTGGTGCCGGACAAGAAGTCCTGAATAATTGGGCCTGCCTTCAGGAGAAAATTGGAGTCTTCCCATGATGTGATCAAAGCTGAAAAAGCCTTCAAAGGTAAGAATCTTGGGAATCACCTCAAAGAAGAAGGATTTGGTCTGGGATAAGAACATTCATATCATTTATGATCAAAGTGTCATTGAGTGGTAAACCGATGAGTCTTGAACTATATCAGCTAAAACAGGCCCTTGAAGCATGTTTCTAGAGGGGACCTCTCGTGGACGTAATTAGAAATGGATGCACCGAATCGGAACAGATTAAGATGTATATTCCAAACAATGCGTGAAATGAATAGGGCACTCGCATACGATTGTCTGGTTATGGATGGAAAAAAAAGGAGCGAATTGGCCTTCAACTAATGACAAGGAAAAGAATAAAACCTGATTATAACCAAAAGAGACGGAAAACTGAGCCAGTTTAGCACCTCGTCTCTTGAGACCGGAGGATATCGGCAATCAACACTCTTTCAACTAGCAGTCATAGTCATCTAGCCATACGTTTTAGAGGAATAAAGAAGCCCAATTACAGATTTCTATTCCACTCATTCCTTCCCCACCTAAGTGATATATGCCAGAGTATATGCATATCGGCTCAGCACAGGGTCCGCGCTAAGGTTTCATAAGTTCTCAGCTTGTGAAAAATGGCAATTGAAAGGATCATTAAAACCGCCGTGCTGGTTCAGTTCTATTGTAATGAAGTCTAAAGAGGACATAGACATATGCAGCTTACACTGTGCCAGCAAGCATGAAAGCCTTGTACACAATGCACCTGACCAAATCAGGACCACCCCATGAATCCTCAAGCTCTCTCACTACACCTTCGGATAACAAATCGACACCTTGTTCCTTAGCTGTAGCAACTGCGGACCATGACCGTAACATCCTCAAGAACCCTTCGAAAGAGAGCTGCTTTGGTATATCCAGAGGGCATGGCTCGCTTTCGCATCCCAAGCATACACTTTTGAATGGGAAAGGGAGGTTCTTGTAACCATCGAATACGTGCTTTATGTTGGGGTCCCAAAAGGGTAGCGTAGTGTCATGGAAGCGTTTCATGACCGGATCAAACGTAGGGCTCACTTCAACGTCATTGTAGCACCACACTGCAATCACACCTCCCGGCTTCCGGAGCAGACGGGTCGCGAGGGAGTAGAAATTGGGTAGGTCGAACCAGTGCACCGCTTGAGCCACCATAATCAAATCCACTGAATTTTCACCTCCAATTAAGGTCATGATTTCGTCATTGGAGATGGGTATTGGGGTGTGCACATAGCGGACTCTCGGATGCTGCATCGCACATTTTAGCTGGGCTACGCTCACATCAGTGGCGATCACCTGGTCGTAGTGCTCGGCTACCTATTTTACAAGCAAGTGCAGGGTATATGAACAGAGTTGTAACTGACAAGAAAAATCTGGTAGTAATGAAAGAAGTTGAGCTTTGAATTGGTGAAAGATCAATCATCATAGAGCAAAGAGAAGGAAAGAGAAGCCCATTTGACAAAAATACAAAAGGGAAAAGAAGCTGGAAGACACTGAGACGGGGGTTGAACTTCAGTTTCAAAGATCAGATTCAAACCAACACAAATGATTTGAGACAAATTAAGTGGAACTGGAGGATTTCCACCTTCAGTTAGTGATTAGTAAGCAGTACCCAGCCAATCCTAGCCCCAAACAAAATCAAATAGAATAAATCAACTTCTCAGTATCAATGAGAAGAGTAAAAAGCAGAGTATCTGAGGATTCAGCTAACTGTTGAAGTGAAGCGAAGTCCTAAAATTCACCCAGGATGAGCTAATCTCACTCATTCTCGACACCTTATGTCTACTCAAGTACCTCCGAAAGCAAAAAGAAATGAAAATGTTCATACAAGGTGAGTACGCAAATGAATGATTCTCATCAAAATCCCTCTTCAGCGAGACTTGCATTTGACATGTATTGTTCATAAAAAAGTTTCGCATTTCGCAAGATCTGCGATCACATCTGGTCGACCCCATTTCTGTTTTTGGAAAATCCAGAAGATCTGCTCACATCGTCACTGTTCCCGATCAAATGTCGGGTTCCATCGTATCAGGACCGTTGACACCAAAATAAGAATCGGCATAAGTGCCGAATCGGCTTTAATGCCGAATATGGCGTATAATGGAAATCAGCCATCTACCGAAACACGTCTGGACCAAATTCAGAAACATGTTGAGAAGCAAGTGTGAATGGTATCGTGTCCCGAATTCGGTAGTTGATGAAAATATGTATACTTACCGAAATATGGAGAGTTATAGTTCGGGACATTGGAATATTTATACCTTAGGACAACGACCCTTTCCCGAAATTCAGGAGGTTCACACTTCGGGAATGCACTGAAAAATCACAGTCTAATCACGTAAATCACGACAGCAAGAAGTTACGAGCAGAAGCGAGGATAGTCAGCACGAGCATATTATGGGAAGTTACTTGTCCAGATTTGAAATCATCTTAGCGGTTGAGATCAAATTTTGGCGGACAATAAAACTGGAAAAACGTGGTTAGAAAATGCAGTTATTGGAAGCGCCAAAATATTCAAAGTTTGAAAACATGGAGGTAACCGACAAGCAGTTGCAAGATAGAAGGAAATACAAATACTCAGAGGAAGCAAAGAGGAAGACACGACCAACAACAATGCAAAAACACTCAAGCTTATCTGCACTTTAGTTTCCTATGCACCTTTACTTCCTGTATTTACAGCTTCCTGTAGCTTTAGTTAACTTTCAAGTCCTTTACAGCTTTCATAGGAGTATTGTAACGTAGCTTGAAATTTTGTTGATCTCAGACCCATTTCCAGTCCATTCAGTTTCTATCCGTTCCATACAATCTTGTGATACTTTATTTTTCACCACAACTCTCCTAGTAATCAAGCCACAAAACCTACTTTAATAAAAACCGAAAATCGAAGTTTCGGTGAAGGATATTCCTCGTCGTAAAACGAGCGAACAAGGACAAAACATTCAACTTGCTACTCATCTTGGAGAGAGAGAGAGAGAGAGAGAGAGAGAGAGAGAGAGAACTGACTCCGAGGGCGGCTTGGCCGTTGCCGGTGCCGACGTCCCAGGCGAGGGAGTGAAGAGGAGTGCGAGAAGCGAGCATGGAGTACCAGTGCGCCGGGTTCGTCGGACGAGTGTCCACGTAGATCTCCGCTTGCTTGTCGAACAGACCCGCCATCTCTTCCCGATCTGCCTCTGCTTGCGTTCTTCTTTGCCTTGGGTCCTTAGTTTCTGCTTTTTGTTCATTGCACTGCCTATTTATTCAACTCTAAACTTGCCCAACATTTGAAAAAAGAAAAGTTAGGAACAACTAGCAAATGATGCAATTTTCTAATCATCATTTCCTCTGCATTTTAATTGTGCTTTTTCATCATTGCAATATAGTTTATATCTATTTAAGCTGCGTTCGATGATCCGAATTTTGATTATGATAAATAGGGACTTGATTTTAGGCCTTTCTAACCGTCAATGATGTTCGCTCGTTGTAAAAAGCTTCTCTCCGCGCTTCACATATTTTGAATTTGAACCCATTTGCCATAAAAAAAAAACGCGAATGGGCAACTTCTCCATAAGTGGAGCTTTCAATTTATAGTCAATAAAATCGACGGACTTAAAAATAATAAGGTGCAGGACATTTTCACATGTTTGAGTTTGACCCCATTTGCCATGAAATAAACAAGGGTTAATATCACGAAAAACTACAAACCGGTACACCTGTAACAATTTTATCTTAAACTATTTTTTTATCACAAAAAACCTCAAACTGGTACACCTGTGACAAATTTACTTCGAACTATTTTTTTTACTACAAAAAACCCTAAATTGGTACACTTTTGAAAATTTTATCCCGAACTAATTTTTTGACTACTAAAAACCTCAAACTGGTACATTTGTGACAAATTTGCCCTCCGTTAAATTGGATTAATATCATGAAAAATCACAAATTTGTAAACTTGTGACAAACAGAGGGGTAAAACCCAAAATCGGTACACCTGTTAATTACCACGTGTCATTAAACTTAGCAATTTGACAGTAAAATTTAATGAAAACTAACGGAGCGTAAATTTATCACATGTGTACCAATTTGGGATTTTTTGTGATCAAAAAATTAATTCGGGAGTAAAATTATCACAGATATACCAGTGTGAGGTTTTTTGTGGTCAAAAAAATAGTTCGGAGTAAAATTGTCACAAGTGTACCAATTTGGAGTTTTTTGTAGTCAAAAAAATATTTCGGGGTAAAATTGTCACAGATGTACCAATCTGCGGTTTTTCGAGATATTAACCCAATAAACAAACACATAAAGATTTACCTTTATTGGCACCTTAATTTTTATCGACAAAATCAAACATACATTACAAAAAAAAGGAAAAGAAAAGTGGAGAAATTAGCAATAAAAGGCTAATAAAAAGTTCTGGCAACGGAGGAATCGCCATAGCTAAAGCTTCAAGGGAGAACTGGGGCCGCCTCCCGGTTGCATTTTCTGGAGCGCTGCAAAGCTTTCTGGAGAATAGCGCCTTTCTCTCTCTCCCTCTCCCTGCTCGCTTCAGCCTTCCTTCGCCTTCAATTTCTGCCGGCTTCATTCTGACTTTTCAATTCACTTTGATGATATAAAGAATAATAAAGGATCGAAACTGACCTCTCTCGTCCCTCAATCTTTTTCCTCTCGTATTCAGATTCACGAAGAAGAAGAGGAATCTGGCAAAATATCCGAGAGAGAATGAGATCGTCCTTCCCCTAACTCCGGTTTTGCCCTTGATTCAAGATCAAGATCGAGTTCCGTCTCCGACTCGTTGCGGTTCACCATTACCGAGCTGCCCTCGATTCCTTTTATTCTGCCCTGTTGTTCAGTTAGCATGTCTGAAGTTACTCGAAACCGATTAATTCAACTTTCCCGCGACTCTGATCATCAACATCGACACTTCCTGAAGTTCTTCCAACCGATTCATCACCAACCGCAAACTTTAATGTGTCCTTGTAATCGCTTTTTCTAATTGGTCTCCAACTTATTTTTGTTTAAAGCCATCAACTTTATTAACTCTAAAGTATGCAAAATTACCAAACAAAGTTCTAAACATATTGTATAGATGCCAATTTAATCCTAAACTTTTTAATTTAATTAATTTAGTCATAAACCTTTTGACAATTCGTCAATGTAGTCCTTCCAGCCAATTATGACTGAAAATCACTAACAATGATGGACAATGTCTTACGCGGCACGTCCGGCACTGACGTGAATAATTTTACAATTTTTGTATATCTTTTTTTGTCTTCTTTTTTTCCATTGTGGTAGGCGAGAGTAGAGGTGAGCATGGTTCTAGAGTAAAATCTCGAACCTGAGAACCTGATCAATGAGAACCTGTAGGTTTCAGGTTCCAAGATATGCATGGTAGGTTCCAGATTCCAAAAATTGGGGAATCTGTTTCGACGGATAAGTTCTAAGTTCTAGGTCGGTGGAACGTGGAATCTAGAGCCTAAAACCTTAAATAAGTTTCTTCAGTTTTTTTTTATTTATATCTTCGCGTGATCCTGCGGTGTTTCATGGCATTAGATGATGAGTATATAATCTGGAACCACTAGTCTGAGCTTTCATTTTATGACTTATTAATGTTTCATATTCTTCATGTATCTAAATATAAGTTTGGTCAGTAGATCGTAATAACAAGTTGTGATCATTAAATGTGATGATTCACTGCAATTGTTCAATTAATAATACAGGTGGAACCTGGGTAGACCATAGAACCGACACCGGAACCTGTGACAAGGTAGGTTCCAGGTTCCAAGGTATGTAGAGTAGGTTTCAAGTTCTAAAAAATAAGAAACTTGTTCCATGGGTAGGTTCTAGGTTATAGGTGAAACCTTACGAAACTTGGAACTGCTCACCCCTAGGCTAGAGTCGACAAGGCCTAATTGCTAGTGAGGGCGCGAAGACCCTCACCAGATCTTAGAGAGGGTTGCCTCGCTCGTAACCGGCAAAGGTTGTGACCCTTGTCAGTAGCCGACCGTGTTAAGTAGAACGGTGTCCGCATTAGCGATTTCCAACCAAAATTACCCATAAAGTCTATAATGGCAAAATCACCAAAATATTTAGAACTAAACTAGTCAAATTGAAAGGATTAAAACTATATTGACATCTGTTCAACAGGTTTATTACTTATATTTACATTTAAAAGAAAAAATCTAAATGATAACTCCGATCTCAAACTTTTTATGAAAGAATTCCCTAAACACCCTGCCTACATCTCTGCTGTTAATATAGCAAATCCACCGGCTCACTTTTTTTAACTTCCCAATTTGAATTCAACATAATCATCAAGCATTCTATAGAGATCACTCATCTTTCCAGTTTAATAATAATTTATGTTTGTATTCTCAAGACGATCATATCTTTCCACATTATTTTTTCTACCATACCATAGGCTTGTCCATCAAACCAAGGACTGTGCATTATGACAATAAATGACGAAAAGTTAATGTATCGATCTTCGATATATATTGGCCGCAAGTTGATTACTGCCACCTATAAGATGACAACAAATCATTATGTGGATCTCAGCTTCATTTATTATGAAAGTTATTGATATAGGAAATGAATACTATAGACGGATTAAGTACTGACCACAAATACCGAATGCTTAAAACAAATCCATACGCCACGTATGCACATATTTTATTCCCATAATAGCGCGAGATCTACACAAATCTATGATTATTTTTGTTAAGATGCCTAATTAAGCGATAGCTCACATGTCGACCCAACAACTCTGTTTGATCTCACATTGTTTTTCTTCTGTTTTTGGATGTACGCGACGAACGCGACAGGATCAAACACCACAAAAGACAAAAGTTACGTGGTGAGAACTGCGACTTTGGAATTCCGGGATATGTTTGGCCGTACACACACTTGTGCTCGTTGGCCTTGAAGAGTCCTAGCTAGCCAAAACTTAACAACAGTGCATCTGGTTTAATCAAATGCATCATTATCATTATAATAGACAATTTAATGTAGAGGTTACTCTTAACTTCTCACGATTTTGACACTAAACTATTGCGGATTTTGTTGTGTGTGTGTGCGTGTGTGATATTTGGTTAGATATGTTTTGCATAATCTTTGCTCTCGGTGTTATTCTATTCTTGTTCATTGTGTAAATCTATTTCCGTACGATAATGTGTGTATGCGTGAAATGTGTTGGTGTTAATCTCGAGGAATGTCATCCCACAATGTTTTAGTTGCGTAATTAGAATTTTTATGTGGCCATTTTGTTGGCCAATCTAGTAACCATGGCAATCTAGTGTAAAACTTTTTAAAGAGACAATCAATCGGAGATATTTTTTTTCTAGGTCTGAAAATAGTAAATGCCATTCGCTTAGAAGAGTTTACTGAATACAAGTTCAAAACTTTAGCGCAAATCAAGTCTTAAAGGGCTTAAAAGGGATAAAGAGTCTAATTGCTAGGCAAGCTTTTCTTTTTTTGGGCTTTGGCGACCCTGTCAGCTACATTGTTGGACTTTCTGTTGCAATGGGCCAGCGTAAGGTTTGAAAAGCGCAACCTCAAATCACACCCTCTCCAAATAAGTGCGTCATTTCCACCGTGGCTATCGACTCCACAAGCGCGACCGAGCTAGCATGCATTGATCTTTGTCCACCAATTGACCAATGGAGACTTGGCAAACGCAGGCGGTGGCTCCTTTCGACGATTCGGCAACAAAGGAACCGTCATGTTGATCTTCAGAATGCCAAAATCGGAGATATTTGTGAATTTAGGAAATTAAAGCCCAAAGAAAATAGCTCGCGTTTCATGACATTGCTATGGAAAAAAGAAGGGCCCAATTGCAATCCAAAACCACGAGAGAATTCTCTGGTTCAGTTTTTGCCTCTCCGATCCTTGTTGTTCGCTGCCATGTGCACACTCGACATCATTGGACATGTTGGCGATATTTTGAGCCCATTGGAACATTCACGTGGCCCTCATTATTCGACCATGTGTCTTGCTCATGAATTACAAACCCTTATGAGTTTTAATCGTAATATTGGACATGAGTCGTGCACGTGAACGTGGCACAACATTACCGGCCATCTAGGGTTTTTATTGGTGGCCGTCGCAATTGGTGTCCTGTTCTTGACTTACACCTGCGAAAGATTGGTCATGTAAACATCAAAATCCTTGCATTAAATTCACGAATAGGTGTAACTTGTCAAATCAGATTTTTGAGTTATCACGTTTAGTAGGCGAGGATAGTGCATGAC